TGATTGAGCTTATCTGAGTCCTTTCTTTTCTATTTCTGGTTAATCTAGCTAGTGGTCTATCAATTTTGTTTACCTTTTCAAAGAACCAACTTTTTATTTCATTGATTCTTTGTATTTTTTTAAATTTCCATTTCATTTAGTTTTGCTCTGAGCTCTGTCGCTTCTTTTTTTTTTTTTTTTTTTTTTTTTGAGACAGAGTCTTGCTTTGTTGCCCAGGCTAGGGTAGGGTGAGTGCCGTGGCATCAGCCTAGCTCACAGCAACTTCAAACTCATGGGCTCAAGCAATCCTGCTGCCTCAGTCTCCTGAGTAGCTGGGACTACAGGCATGCGCCACCATGCCCGGCTAATTTTTTCTATATATATTAGTTGGCCAATTAATTTCTTTCTATTTATAGTAGAGACGGGGTCTAGCTCGGCTGGTTTCGAACTCCTGACCTCAAGAAATCCGCCTGCCTCGGCCTCCCAGAGTGCTAGGATTACAGGTGTGAGCCACCGCGCCCGGCCTGTTACTTCTTTTTTTTCTGTTAGCTTTGGATTTGGTTTTTCTAATTCCTTGAGGTGTGACATTAGGTTGTTAATTTTCAATCTTTCTGTATTTTTGATGGAAGCATTTTAAGGTATAAACTTTCCCCTTAGCACTGCTTTTTCTGTATCCCACAGATTTTGGAAGCTTGTGTCGCCTTTGTCATTCAATTCGAAAATTGTTTATTTCCGTCTTGATTTTGTCAATAACCCAAGGATCATTCAGCAGCAAGTTGTTTAATTTCCATGTATTTGTGTAGTTTTGAGAGTTCCTCTTGGAATTGATTTCTAGTTTTATTCTACTTTGGTCTGAGAAGGAAGATACATGGAGGTTCATGATATATTGGAAAATTGCTTTCCATGAATAATGTATAAATTTACACTCCAATCAGCAATGTCTTACAATCTCATCAGTACAGGTTTTCATTGCTTATTTTTATTTATGCTAATTTTATAAGAGAATATATTATAGTTGTTTTTATATGTTTTTAATTATTGGTGATTTAAATTTTTTCATTAGCTATATGTTGCATTTCCCCTTTTGTACTTTTTAAAATTTGAGACAGAGTCTCACTCTTGTCATCCCAGGTAGCGTGCAGTGGTGTCATTGCAGCTCATAGCAACTTCAAACTCCTGGACTCAAGCTATTCTCTTGCCTCGGCCTCCCAAGTAGCTGGGACTACAGGCATGTGCCACAATGCCAGACTAATTTTTTCTATTTTAGTTACCCAGCTAATTTTTTCTATTTTAATAGAGATAGGATCTTGCTCTTGCTCAGACTGGTTTCGAACTACTAAGCTCAAGCAATCCTCCCACCTTTGCCTCTCAGAGTGCTAGGATTATAGGCATGAGCCACCATGCCCAACCTGTACATTTTTTAATTCATGGTTTTTGGCCATGTATCTGTTAGAGATTTGTGGTTTTCTTGCTGATTTGCATGAATTACTTATGGCCATTAGCCTTACTTTGGCCATTTGCTTTCTCGATTTGCTCTAACATTTTCCAAGTTTATTATTTACATTTCAATTCTGAAATGTTTTTATATATTTTAATTATAGTTAAATTATTTTATATCATGTGTAAATATAATCATATAATCTATATATTTATATATTTTAATATTTATTTATGTTATTTTAAAATTAATTAAATTATTAATTCACGCTTCTATTGTCTTCTAGTTTTCTGTGGCTATATATTTTTTAAATTGTGGTAAAATACATATAATATAAAATTTACCATCTTAACCATTTCTATAGCTATATATTTTTGAATTAAATATATTTGTCAGGATAAATTATTACATTTCACATTTTATTTTCATAAATAATGAATTAATTGTACCAACTCCATTTATTGAGTAGGCAATTATTAAGCGTTTACTCTGATAAACAATGATAAAAATTTGGTTACGAGATAGTTTTGCCTTCTAGTGGAGGAGACAACTCCAGGATTACGTGATAGATGCAGTGATAGAGGCATACGTACGATACTACTGGTACATTCATTTATTCAACATATATTTTAGTAACTACTGTATGTCAAGTGCTGTGCTGGACCACAGATAGTCCATAGGGAACCAAATAGTCATGGTCCCTGTTTTGTTTTTTAAAATAGAAACAGAGGAGAGAGTAAGAGAGAGAGGGAGAGATCGAGAGAAAGAACATGCTTACAGTCAAACAGAGGATACAGATACATTTATTGTGTGTTTTACTGTGTGGATAAATATTTGGGTGTTTTACTGTGTAATAAATATCATAATAGAGAAAACATGAGCTGCCATGGGAACACAGAGGAGATCCATCTAATCCAATCAAACAAGGCAGTCAGAAAGGTGCCTCTTCCAGAGGAAGTGGCTGGGTTTAAAAGCAGATAACCATGAGCTCCATCAAGGTAGAAACACATCTTGTGCAGAGAACACACATACCAAGTCACGGGGATATGAGTGAGCAGGATGTGTACAATTTATTAAAAGTTGTTTGTTATAGCTGAAGAGAAGGGTGCTGCATGTAGTCAACTGATGAGAAATGAAACTAAAAATGTAGGCAGGAGCCAGGACAAAGTTCCTTTGTACTAAATCCTCATGTCAATTCCCTTTCACAATAAAATAAGAGTAATGGTTATTGGGCACTTACTATGTGTCAGCCTCTTTTCTAAGTGCCTTATATGAATTAACTAATCCTCACAATAATCTATGAAGTACATATTATTATTATGTCTTTTCTTACTTAAGAGGGCTGAGGTGCAGTGGCCCTCTTACTTACTGAGGGCCGGGTGCAATGGCTCATGTGTTTAATCCTAGGACTTTGGGAGGCCAAGGCAGGACAATTGCTTGATGTCAGGAGTTTAAGACCAGCCTGAGCAACATAGCAAGACCCTGCCTCTAAAATAATAGAAAACTGGGCCAGATGCGATGGCTTCTCCTATTGTCCCAGCTACTCAGGAGGCTGAGGCAGGAGGATCACTTGAGCCCAGGAGTTTGAGGTTGCGGTGAGGTATAATGGCACCACTGTACTCTAGCCTGAGCAATAGAGTGGGACCCTATTCTTTCAAAAGAAAAAGGGAAAGGAAAGGAGGAAGGAAAAAGGAAATAAGAAGGAAGAGGAAAGGAAAGGAAGGAAAAAAGGAAAAGGAAAGAGAAAGGAAGAGAAAGGAAAGGAAAGAAGGAAGGAAAGAGGGAAGAAAAAAAGAAAAAAGAAAAAAAAAAAAAGAAAAGAGAAGAAAGGAGAAGAAAGAAGAACCGAAGGTAAAAGAAAGCTTAGGATAACTGTTCCCAAGCACACAAGCTATATTTAAAACGTCAGGCAGTCTAACTCCAGAAGGCCAAAAACTTCTTAAACCCAGCTTCATCCTCTCATTAATATATATTAATAATGTTTTAAATTTTAAGTTATTTTGGAAGGCTTAGTAGATTTCTTGTATTATCCTTTTCGTGTTTTATCTTTTCTGGAAGGGACAGTGTTCTCACTCTTGTTCCCGCTAGATTTGCCTGGTGTTCAGGCCATAGCTCACAGCAACCTCAAACTCCTGGGCTCAAAGCGATCCTCCTGCCTCACGCCTTCCTGGAGGAGCTGGACTACAAGCATGTGCCCACCAATGCCCGCTAATATTTCTATATATTTTTAGGTTGGCAAATTATTTTCTTCTAATTTTTGTAGAAGATGGTCTCGCTTTTGCTTCAGGCTGGTTTTGAACTCCTGACCTTGAGCAATCCGGCCTTGCCTCGGCCTCCCAGAGTGCTAGGATTACAGGCGTGAGCCACCGTGCTGGCTCTTTCTGTTTATTCTTATTCCAGAATCATGCTATTTAAATTGTTGTTTTTGTTGTTTGTTTCAATATCTGAATGTAGTCTATGCCTTCACTATTTTCTTTTTCATATTTTTCTTTCTTTCTGTTAATCATTATTGACTATATATTATTCAAATAAACTTTCACAATAATTTTGTTGAACTAAAATTTGGGATTATAGGATTTGGGTTAAAATGCATTAAATTTATAAATTAAATGTTCAATTAAGTGTTTCCATCTAGAAAGTGCTATATTTCTTCATTCAGGTCTTTCTCCAAATCTATCAATACTTTTTTTATAATTTTATAAAAATAGGTGACACTTATTAAGTTTCTTAGATGTGTTATAATTCTTGTGAAAGTATGTCTTATTATGTTTTCTAATTCCTTATTATTGGTATGTAGGAATGCTATATTTGCTTGTATATAAGATTGTTTTTCCTGAAATGTGAGATAAAATTACTGCTCAAAAACCCCCAAAATAAGCCGGGCGTGGTGGCTCACGCCTGTAATTTCCTAGCACTTTTGGGGGAAGCCGAGGGCGGGCGGATTTGTCCAAGTCAAGGGAAAGTTCAAAAAACCAGCCTTGGAGGCCAGACCCTTTCTCTTACCAAAAAAAATAGATAAATAATTGACCAAGCTAAAAATATATATTACCAAAAAAATTAAGGCCGGGGCATGGTGGTGCATTGCTGTAGTCTTCCAGCTACTCGGGAGGCTGAGGCAGTAGTGATCGCTGAGCCCCGGAGATTTTAAGGTTGCTGTGGAAGTCAGGCTGACGCCACGGCCACTTTTCATTTCTAGGCTTGAAACAAAAGAAAAAACACTGAGACTCTGTCTCAAAAAAAAAAAAACAACAACAACAAAAACCCAAAATAGAAAAGGTATATACCTTATTCAATAATGTTCAAAACATTCAGAAAAAATATGGGTCAATATGAAAGGCCACTCAAAAAATATGTCCTTTTTATTTGCTGTTCACGTATGTTTTAGGCACACATGCAAACTATTGTCCCTGATGCATTTTCATCTACTACTTCCCAGGACGAGAGCGCAGGAGAGCGCGGGGACGGCGGCAGGCCACCGCCCCCAACTCGGGCGCTCCGCGACGCCCGGCCAGGGCGCAGGCTAATCATTGACGGAGGCTGCGACCTCGTCAGGCCGGCGCGGGCGGGCGCGGGCAGGCGCGGCGGCCTCTCCTCCGCGCCGGTGAGGGCCGCGCGCTGCGGGGACCATGTCCCGCCGAGGGCCGCGCGGGTCCGTCGTGCTGGCGGCGCTCGTGGTGCTGCGAGCCGTCGCCGGGCTCTCTGGCGACGGAAGGGCCGTGTGGTCCAAAGCCCCCGGGTCCGGCCCGGTGAACGAGAGCCAGCTGTTTCTCTATGGCACCTTCCCCAAGGACTTCCTCTGGGGCGCGGGGACTGGGGCCTTCCAAGTGGAAGGGGGCGCGGAGGGCGACGGGCGGGGGCCCTCCATCTGGGACCGCTTCGCGCGCACACGCCTCGGCAGCGGCGGCGGCGCGGGCGGCGGCAGCGACAGCGACAGCTACGCCTTTCTGGAGAAAGACCTGTCCGCCCTGGACTTCCTCGGCGTTTCTTTCTACCACTTCTCCATCTCCTGGCCGCGGCTGTTCCCCGACGGCGAGGCGCGCGCCGCCAACGCGCGCGGGGTGCGCTTCTACAACGCGCTGCTGGACGCGCTGGCGCGGCGCGGCGTGCAGCCGGTCGCCACGCTCTTCCACTGGGACCTGCCGCTCGCGCTGCAGCGGCGCTACGGCGGCTGGCGCAACGCCTCGCTCGTGGGCCTCTTCAACGACTACGCCACCTTCTGCTTCCGCGCCTTCGGGGACCGCGTCAAGTACTGGCTCACCATCCACAACCCGTACCTGGTGGCCTGGCACGGCTACGGCACCGGCGCGCACGCGCCCGGGGAGGCGGCCGGCGCGGCCGCCGTCTACGCCGCGGGACACAACCTCCTCAAGGTACGGGCCGCCCGGCCGGCGCGGGACGGGAAGCTGCGCCTGTGAGGTAGCTCTCCTGACTGACGCCGCCCGCCAGCTTGGCTAATCCGCAGGATCTGGCCTCGAGCTCCATGCTTAGTGTTTTTGTTGTTATTGTTTTGTGAGGCTCGCCAAGTGCGGCAGCGAGGAGGGAAGGTGGTAGAGCGAGCAGCTCCCTCCCGCGAGGTGGCTCACTGCCTTCGGACCCGCCGCGTTCTAGGTTGCGGCCGTGTGTGTTTCATTTGTCTAGGGTATTATCAATGTATTAGTCCGATTAGTTTCCTCAAAAGTTGCACTTTGAGGCTATTTTTAAGTCTTAATACATTTATACATTATCGTGTGAGGATGCGAGTTTATTTTCATCGTGCGGAAAACCAGCGCTTTGCAAGTTCAATCGCTGGGACCGTTTTCCGGCGGCGGCGGGCTGCCGTCGCGGGCGCGGCCCAGCCTGCATTCCTCCTCCGGGCAGCTGCTCTTAGTCGCTCTTGGCCGAGGGAGCTAAACAGTGTTAGCTAATTCGTTCCTATAAATGACAGAAATTAAAATAAATATACTTTGCATTTGATTTTATTTGTGTTACACAGCAGAAAAGATGAGATTAGTTGTTCTGGGAGTTAAAATTAAACTAGTATTTAAAAACTGGGAAGAATATGGTCTACTAAAGGAGTTTTAAAGCACTTTGTTTCAAAAGGTAGATATTATGTTGAGAAATGTCAAAATTATTAAAATATTTAAAATGCAAGCAAAATAATAGCTAATATTTATCGAATACTTATCATGTCCCACAGACTACATTAAACATTTTATAATACACACATCGTCGCATTTGATCCTCAGAACAGCCTAAGAACTAGTTCTATTATAACTCTCATTTTAAAGATGAAGAAACAGGCTTAGATTAGATAACTTGCCCAAGGTTACAGAGGAAAATGCAGCTGTTGTGAACATGGGATTTATAAATGACAATGTACTTACTGTGAATTGTCTTTATTAAGAATATTTTAAAAAGAATAATCTTTCAGGAATTTTCAAGAGATTTAGCCTCACATTGAGGCTAATGTCTACAATCAGATTTAACCTTTTGAGTCAAATAGTACACTTGGGAAAAATTAATTACTCTGTTACATTTTTAAAATGAAAACATTTTATCAATATAATTGTATAATGTGCTAGGGGAAGTAATTTTTAATAAGCAAAAGTTAATTATACAACAATAGAAAAAAGGTACAGGAACAAAAAACTATCCCATATCTAAATTTGTACATACAAAAATATCTGCTAACCCTTCTTTTCTTTTTGAACTTTCTGGTATTATACATGTGCATTGTATATGTAACCTGGTACTATGATTTCAGTCACATTGCCCTTGCAGTAAACAGATTGCATTATAATTTGAAGATCATTTGCAAATTTATGAGTATAGTTGTATACAGAACATATTATTATTTTTATTTTTGAGACAGAGTCTCGCTTTGTTGCCTAGGCTAGAGTGAGTGCCGTGGCATCAGCCTAGCTCACAGCAACCTCAATCTCCTGGGCTCAAGGGATCCTCCTGCCTCAGCCTCCCGAGTAGCTGGGTCTACAGGCATGCACCACCACGCCCAGCTAATTTTTTCTATATATATTAGTTGGCCAATTAATTTCTTTCTATTTATAGTAGAGACAGGGTCTCGCTCTTGCTCAGGCTGGTTTCAAACTCCTGACCTCGAGCAGAGTGCTAGGGTTACAGGCATGAGCCACCGCTCCCGGCCCAGAACATACCAGCCCAGAATATATTATTAATATGTGCAGACTGTAATTTGGTAAAATAAGACCTTAAAGGAGAGAAAACTTACAGCTATTTAATAGCTATTAAGATTATACATACAAAAGTTAGAAAAGTATTCTTTTTATCTAGTTATTTTAATTATTAAAACAATCCATGCTCATGCAGATTTAAAAATATCAGATTGTACCAAAGGACATAAAGTGAAAAGTTAAATCCCTCTCTCCCTCTCTGCCTGACAATCCCAACCCAAGGACACTAATGTTAAGAGTTCCGTATACATTTCTTCAAAAGTTTTCTATGCAAACATATACATGTATATGTTTATGTAACCTTTGTATAAAGAAAAATATTCTAAATTGTTGAAGAGTTTTGTTGCCTGGAAAAGTGTCAACAATTAGAATTTTCATGAAAAATATGTTTTAGTGATTAATTTAAAGCCTTAAAGATTGGCCATCTGATGAAAATAAACAGTAAAAAGTTTTGCCTAACAAATAGATAATTGCTTCCAAACTTAGCTGGTAAAATGCTGTATTTTCAGATGTTTTTCATTTTCCTCTAATTTGAGATAAGCTCTGCCTTTAACATACAATTAGCACTTTCTGATAGTGAGATATATTTTATTTTGAGTTGAGGCATTGGCTTTCAAACTATTGTGTTTTCCAAATAATTTATTTTATCTCCTTAAAATTTCTAAATCACCAGCCTAAATAAATGGTGTGAAAGGTCCCTTGAAATCAGTCAGAAAGTGAAATATGCTGCATAACCCAGTGACTTATAGCACTAGAGAGAAATCTTGCAATGGTTTGGTAGCCTGAGCTGAACTCGTGTTTCCCATTTGTTCCCTCGCTGTCCACACCGTGACGTACAAAAGATTAATTTGATATTTTATGTGGCAATGAAGTATTTCTTCCTTATTGTGCCCCCTTGTGACCTAGAAGAAGCATTCTTTAGGATTAGTTTTTAGTCCAAAAGCATTTATTGAGCTAAATAAGCCTAATACAAACTGAATTCATGGGTGGTTCAAGACTACTTTATTCTCTAATTCTCAGATAGTGAAAAGATTTTGTAGTGGCTATTGAGGTCCTCTTAGTTCCAGAATGATCTTGGAAACTACATTTCAGTTTAAAATGTTCCAGTTTAGAGGAAACATGAATGGCCCAGCAGGTGCCAAGACTGACCTGGAATTGAGATTACACTTTATGGCGGCTCTGGGGGTTACCTTAGTAAGTCTAAGCCTTGGGTAAAAATTTCCCATAATTACACCTACTTCAACTCTGAGTTTTTAACAGTATTTTGAACAGAATGAGGATGCATTTTTTTGGCTTGGCCTTCTTTAAGCATGGTAATTATCATTTTAAATATTATCTATAATATAATCTTTGCAACAACCTTGCCAGGTAACTATTATCTTCATCTTACAGAGTGATATTTCTAACATGTATCAGGTTGTTCTCCTACATAAAATCCCTTAGTGGCTCCTCCAAGCTTTTGGGGTAAAGTCCCAATTTTTCACCAAGATCCTCAAGACACAACTCCTGGCCTCCAATCCAGCCTCCAATCCAACCCACTACCAAAGCCAGCCCCTTGCACCCCGTGGTCCATCATAATACACTACTGGCAGCATCTCTTTCTTAACTTGTTATCCCTCTCCAACCAACCTCTATTGGCTCGCTCCATCCAGCCGAAATACCCTCCTTTACCCATTTAATGCCCTTCAAGACACACTTTAGACAATCACCACCTCTAAGTTATTGGGGATTTTTTTTGTTGTTTTTTTTTGAGACAGAGTCTCACTCTGTTGCCCAGGCTAGAATGAGTGCCGTGGCGTCAGCCTAGCTCACAGCAACCTCAAACTCCTGGGCTCAAGCGATCCTCCTGCCCCAGCCTCCCGAGTAACTGGGACTACAGGCATGCGCCACCATGCCTGGCTAATTTTTTCTATATATTTTTTAGTTGACCAATTAATTTCTTTCTATTTATAGTAGAGACGGGGTCTCGCTCTCCCTCAGGCTGGTTTTGAACTCCTGACCTTGAGCGATCCACCCGCCCTGGCCTCCCAGAGTGCTAAGATTACAGGCGTGAGCCACCATGCCTGGCCCTCTAAGTTATACTTGACCCTGTAGGGTTAAGTGCCCCTTCTATGGGCTCCCATAAGATGTTCTTGTTTCTGGCATTTGTACTCAGACCATATGGTACTTTTCTATCTCCCCAACTAGACTTAGAGTTCCTTGAAAGGAAAGAAAATTTTTTGTCTTTGTGTGCCCAGCACCTTGCACAGAATATTTGGTTCATGCTAGGTATAAATGTTAGTTGAATGAATGGTTTAGGTTAGGATTTCAATCTTAAAACTTGTAATCAAAAAACAGTCTCAAGTTCAATCTTCATATTTCATTGCATTATTGCTAAGTCTTGAAATATTGCCTATGTTAGTATAGCAGTATATTATTCAGGACTTGTTTGGTTGCAAGTGACAGAAATCTAATTCAAGTTGGCTTAAGCAAAAAGGAGCAATTCCCTGGCTCTGTGACCGACCACAGGGGTGAATGGACTCAGTAACCAGGGCACCCTCAGAAGGCCCTTTTTCTCAGTCTTTCATGTACATTTCTTCTTGTTGGTTCTTTCTGCTTTGTAGAAGGAAGATTTTTCTCTCTCAAGTTTGGTTTTTAAAAATTCCAGTGACAGATTTGGCCTGTTCAGCAAAGCCACAAGGGTTCACATTAGTAAAGGCAGTAATGGTGTCTGTTTTCCTTCTATTTTGAAATCAGTAAATACACATAAGAATTAAAATTTATAGATTTCCCTTCTGGAATGGAATACTTGAGAGCCTCTGCGTAAACATGCACAGAGATTGGGGAAGATGAGTTTGCTCATGAGACAGTAACTCACTTGGTTTATTATTCCACTAAATGCTGCCAGCTTCCATGATAGTTTGACCATTTCATGGCTTTAAAATGTTATCTTTCATAGATAGATAGTGTTTATGTAGTACAGTGATTTCTGAACCTTGGCTCTATTGACATTTGGGGCCAGATGATTCTTTGTTGTAGGGAGCTGTCCTGTGCGTTGTAGGGTGTTTAGCAGCATCCTTGGCTGCTACCCACCAGACAGCAGCAGAACCCCCCCTTCCAGGGTTGTGCAAATCAAAACATCTCCAGACATTGCCATTGTCCCTTGGCAGTCATTGTTCCTCCCCCTCCCTCTAGATCTTGAAAAC